AAAGGTAACTCATTTTAAATATAGTTAGAAGGTCATTTACAATAATATAAATAATAATAATAATAATAATAATAATATTAATATTAATAATAAGCTTTATATTTGTATAGCACCCTGTATACAAGAATTGTAGCCAAACTCGCTTCACAGCAGTTCAATAGACACATTAGTACAACATGACAGGATAAAAGCAATGTAGAGGAGCAGCTACATTTCAACACATATATCCAGGAAGATTAATACATGAAGACTTGTGACTCTGACTTGACTTGGACTCTTCTTGGTTGACTTGGACTTGGACTCGGACTCGAACACAGGTAATGAATGACTCGGACTCGACTCGGACACTCCTTGGGTGACTCGGACTTGGACTCGGACTCGAACACAGGTAAAGATGACTCGGACTCGACTAGGACACTCCTTGGGTGACTCGGACTTGGACTCGGACTCGAACACAGGTAATGATGACTCGGACTCGACTCCGACTCTCCCTAGGTGACTCGGACTTGGACTCGGACTCGAAAAGTGGGGACTCAAGAGTGACTTGGACTCGTGAATTGGTGACTTGACTACAACACTGGAAGAGACTAAATCAGAATATTAGCCGCCTTAAATGACGGAAATGAGAACTTGATGAAGTTATTTTTATTATATTTTTTTAACCTATAGAATGTAGGTATATAACTTTCCCCCTCTGCACCCTGTCCTGACCATCAAATAACCCCGTCAAAACACACACACACACACACACACACACACACACACACACACACACACACACACACACACACACACACACACACACACACACACACACACACACACACACACACACACACACACACACACACACACACACAATCACCAGCTTCTGTTCCGTTAGGGATGTTCTCTCTAAAGCTGCTTAGCACATTGTTTTTCACCTCGACTGTCCCAGTGTCAAACACCTGGACCTGAATTTAGAAACAGATCGACACTAGCCTAGTTCTGTGCTGGATTCAATTTTGCCAAACTGTCACTATTACTAAAAATAGATCAATCACAGAAAAGAGAGCACTGACAAACACACACAAAATGAAAACACACCGTGTGTATGTTTTCCTGAGCAGACAGCAGGGGGCAGTGCTTAGCTCTGTGCTTTTGGGTCAAGACCTCATGGGGGGATAAACCTGAGTGCTTGTCTCTTCCCGCAGAGCAAGAGCCTGGGGCCACCAGACTGCTAACATTCATCACATCATCCCACTTACAGGAGGATAGGAACCGGACATTGTTTATGTTTTTTGCAGGGTCCCCACTAGCAGATGTACAGCAATGTCACTACATTTACACTGTCCCTGTAAAACAACCAAATCAGTGAAACGAGCACCAGACGCATTGATTTGACTTTCTAACCTATCGTCAATGGTAAAATGGCCAATAGGAATGAATGGATGGGTTGATGGGCCTATCAGAATCCATGCATCAGGCAATATTACATTTTTCCATTGATTTTTAATTTTTCTTAACAGGATTCCAAGGAAATGGAAATAGGACACATTCAGTTTGGATATTTTAAAAGGTGTGTTTAGCCTATATTGTAATATTATAAGATATAAGATTACTACCAGTTGGTCGTTCCCAAATGTTGTATTATGTAATCTGAATGACTTTTGTCCGAGATAACCTAGGTAGTGGCAACATGTATGACTACACTGGTACTTATTACAAAATGGGTTAGCCTACAAGATTAGCAGTCTGGTGGTGTGCTGTGGCGATGGTTGGCCTGAGTCAAACTCCCGGCCTGAACTAGTGTTATATCATATACAGCTGATTATCATCAGCTGAGCAAAATAAATGAATTCCATGATTGCATATAACTGCCAAGAGGTGTACGGAGAAGTACAGAGTATCTAGAACAGAGTCCTGAGGTACTCCGTATTTCACATCAGAAAGCAGTGATGCCTTATTATTAAAGGAAACACATGGACAGGTAACATCTCAGCTAAGCAAGAGCCAGGCTCCAAATTTGTTAAGGGGTATACAATTATCAATAAGCCTCACTGAGACCGAGATAAAGAAGCAGAGTTGACATCTGAATCTATAATAATGTATAACTTAAAACAAAGCAGACAGAAGAGGTTAACGAAAAAATAACAATTTATTATATGGTCTGAAAGGTGTTCAATGGCCTCTTTTTTCAGCTCATTTGGAAATAATCTAAGGATTGTTGATAATCATTTAGAGATCCTGAATTGAGGTATGTTTTATGAAGACGTTTAACTACATTAGTCGTATAGCTAGTGGGGACAACAACATGTCGAGTTGGCAGCCTGAAAAGTGCTGACCGTGTGAGAAACACGACTTGACTGACGGCCGATGAGAAACTTGGTTTGTCAGGGCTTTAAAAGTCATACTGCAGGGACTCGTGAGGGCAAGAGGGGATGGCAGAAGGGACATTTGTGTCCCAATCTTTGGTGCCTATTGGTCACCAGGGTGATGTTATCTGTCAAATATTATGTAGGTTGCTAGCATCTTTATGATTTTTTCCCCAAGTTTAGCATTTCTGTTTTACAGAAAAACGACCACGCTGACTGTTAGGTTCTGTCAGAGTAAGGAGGGGTAATATGATTTTGTTGTCATTCTGGACTGTGGCAGCCAGGCCGGATTTAGTCCTAGTGTCCCTCACCGCTGGCCTACTTCACCTGAAAAACAATGAGACAGAGTAGCAAATCCCATAATCCACGCATGCTGCTGGCTGCTGGATGATTAAAGAGGCTCGAAACAATCATACTCTCTGATTTGAATAACACCAATCCAAAATATACCTAAAGGTCAGAGCAGATGAAACGAGGACAAAGCCTGTTAAAGAGGAATCACAGCGTAACCAACTTTAAGGCAATAATGATCCAAGGCAGACATTTGACAGTTAATAGAACATGCCGTTTTATTGCATCTTTCATACTATAATTAAAGAAAAGCTTAAAGGATTTCCATTTTCTATTTTCATTTTAGAACATGTTCTTGGACACCTCATTGTTGTTTGGTTTATGAACTCAGTAACGCTTTTTGAATGGAAGGAGAGTGTTAATGAAACAAACGTTATATAATTTGGCCATAACCATTAATGACCAGTTCACCCACAAACAATCCTACCCTTATTCCATGCAGATGGTTTTGGTTGTCAGGGATTTAAGATATCTTTTTTTGAATATCAATGCCCCCAGTATACTTTTGATTGCAGAGGTTCATTATGAAACAAAAGTGAGGTGTTTATTGTCAAGTTTTGTGTAATATTTGGCTCGTGTTTGGAGTTTTGACAATATGCCACATTTTCCAAATGTATTAGTAGTGGAAAAAACTGTATTTGTATTTATTATTTATAGAAGGACCATGCATACAAAAACATTAATCTCAGCAAAGAGAAGAGATGCAATATGCCAGATTATAGCTAATAGCTCATTTCCATCTGTGGTCCTCAGGCAGGTTATATATACCAATAATGCAATGTTACTTAACTACCCCAGAAACCTTTAACTAGCCAATCATCTTTGGACACAGGCCTACAGGAGAAGGAGAACCTGCAAACTCCCACCACAGACATGCTCTGTGAAAATTGTCAATATATTTCTATTATATCAACCATGGTTCTTAAGGAGCCGCAACAGCTGTTAATCTTGCATGATCCTTGCTTTAAAAACCCATCCTCATATCCATCATATCACCAGGAACATAATCCTTGTGTCCAAAGAGGGGACGTAACATAATAAGACCCTATTTTTGTTGCATTTGCAGTATTAAAGTCCCTTCTACTCTCCTATGAATCACAACTAGACACAAAAGCTTGATTCAGCCCTTTCCTGTTGGAACCCACAACTCTATGATTTACTATGATGACAATGGTTCAATTCACTGTAAAACTACAAACTGAAAAAGTGGGATTCACTAAATTAAAACCATCAAACTCACCGACAAATAACATCATGTGTCTGATGGTGCCAGGCCATTGTTCTGAACCCTTTAGTATTCCGAAAATAAGTCGCATTACCCCAAAAATACACACTCTTCCTGCAACAATCTGAACTTCATTTCTTTATGTAGCACCCTTTTTGCAAAGTTGCAATCCAAGGTGATTTAAGATATAATAGCTAAAATGTACCATAACCTGACCCTGCGGGTAAAGCCATATCTTTTGTTTACGCTCCCAATTGCAACTAACTAGTCTCTGATCTTTAAAGACCTATAGAAGGCACTTTATATATCGAGTTCCAACCCAATACAGTAGTATTTTTACAGCAGAAAATCCATATTAGGAAATGACATAAAAAACACAATTGCTTTTTCAACACTGCTTGCACACATATACAAACAACTACACCTAGTGTTGGGAAACCTTGGGTTGTCACAGCTGATATTTCATGTTGCGACAGTCCATCTCATCAACCAGTGACCTCCACATGTCAGCAGGAGGGCTGGTGATGTGACACAGCGTGACGAAGACGAAGCAACTCAGACAGAACACAGCAACAAATGCAAACACCGCTCAGTCTGTGTTTGTTTTGCTGTGTGAGTGTTGTCTCACCAAACTGTGGAGCTGACAGGACTCCAGCTAAAGTGCCTCACTGCTACAATTCACATGATTGATACACTGTAAAAAAAGTCCGTGAAATTAACAGGGAAAAGCTGTAAAATCACAACATCAAAAAACTGTAAATAGAGAAACAATGAAGCAGTGTTTAATTTACAGTAATATTTCGTAAAGTACTGAACCAAACAAAACTGTTAAATTCACATTAAGAATATGTTAAAATAATTATATTTCATTGTATAATTTACAGATTACTGTGGTTTGAACACAGAAAAACTGTAATACATAAAACAATACAATACAGTTAAAATTACAACATGACAGTGTTAAAATCATGTTTTTTTATATTTTTTCATTCTTGAATATACTATAATATATTTACTTCTTATTTCTATTTGTTTAATACATATATTTATTTTTGAAATTGGAAATAACCCAGTACTGAGATATTCTTGGAAATTAAATGAGAATCCATAAAACAGCTGGCGTTTGGATTCTGCGGCCGACCGGCTATTTGGAGTGGAATGCAGCCCACGGCAGACAGCCCAAACAGTAATCGAACGCCTCCGAAGGAAACGGCCGCTGAACTGAGACACGCCTACTGAGCAGTATAGTTTGTTTCTGTTATTTCATTGGACTATTTAATTATCGCGGGAGCTGCCACTTTTTGCAGGTTAACGGTTGCGGCTCAGTGCGCGCCAAGTCTGTCTCTCAAGTCTGCCTTCCACGGAGCTGTATGTACATGAGCGGAGGATCACATCTGTAGCACTGGTAAGCTAACCTTTTATTTTCTTCAAACTTCAATTATAACACTGTGTGTTGTCAGGACAAAACTAACTTCTGTTTGTGATTGAGTGCATTTTGCAGCAAAACGTTGAGGGTTTATGTTCTGCATTGCATAAGTGTTTTTTCAAATGTGTTGGCGCTAACTGCAAGCAAACAGGTGTGTTGTCAGGACAATGCTAGCTTCTGTTTGTGATTGAGTGCATTTTGCAGTCATAGTTATAACTTCTACTGACCGGGAGTTAATTTAAATAGTCTGGTAACGTTATTGAAGTATCATGCTAAAAGCTGAACTCTTTATTTTCGTTTAATTCATGCTGTTGTGAAGCGGGGGGTTTGAAGCTACATCTGAGGGGGTTCAAATTTAACGGGCAGTCATGTTAGCGCTAAAAATGATTACCTGCCGTTTTTGCAGGTTAACGGTTACGGCTCAGGGCGCGGCCAAGTCTGTCTCAAGTCTGCCTGCCACGGAGCTGTGTGCACATGAGCGCAGGATCACATCTGTAGCACTGGTAAGCTAACCGTTTATTTTCTTCAAACTTCAATTATAACACGGTGTGTTGTCAGGACAATACTAACTTCTGTTTGTGATTGAGTGCATTTTGCAGCAAAACGTTTATGTTCTGCATTGCATAAGTGTTTTTTCAAATGTGTTGGCGCGAACTGCAAGCAAACAACGGTGTGTTGTCAGGACAATACTAGCTTCTGTTTGTGATTGAGTGCATTTTGCAGTCATAGTTATAACGTCTACTGACCGGGAGTTAATTTAAATAGTCTGGTAACGTTATTGAAGTATCATGCTAAAAGCTGAACTCTTTATTTTCGTTTAATTCATGCTGTTGTGAAGTGGGGGGTTTGAAGCTACATCTGAGGAGGTTCAAAGTTAACTGGCAGTCTACTTTTTTCTGTTCTTTCTGCCACTTCTTTCTCTCTTTTCTGTCTAATTTGAGACGTTTATGTTGCACAATCTTTTTTGTTACTGTAAGCTCGTAAAGGGCTAGTTTGGATGCTTATGGATACTTATCCATAGTCAGTGTATTACTTGCATGTCTTTGGAGGAACAGGCAGGAGTACGGGTACGTATGTAAAGCTGTGGATGGGTGCAGCAGCGAAACGTATTTTAGCCACCTAAAAATTCAGTTTACGTGTACGCTATATTTATAATATTGTCACAAATGTACCCTGCTGCTTCAGTCCCTATCAGAAACAGACTGTATAGCTGTCTGACAGAAAGGTAGAGCTTTGAAAATATTCTTTAATATAGCATACACTAAGAGTAATATTGTTTTAGTTTTTTTGGTGGCTTAACTATGTCCACAGCAGTGCATTGCTTAGCTGTCTGCTGGTTCTCCTCTCTGTTTCTCCAAACTGTAGCTCCTACAACCCCCCTTCAAACAATATGAACTATCCCCTAAAAGCAAGTCAAATTGACATTACATTTATCTCCCCTTAACCTGCAAATACACATACATACATTTTTGTATTGATGGTGAGCAATTTAACAGACCTTAAAATGTGTGCTAAAATTGTTTTGTGAAATATTTCAGGAAGACAAGTCTTGTTTTAATTTAGTTTGAATTGTGTTTTTCTTCTTTTTTAGGACGATCATGCTATTCTTCAAGGCGATTCATGCTGAGTGTGGATCGAAACATAGTACAGGACAACATCCCCTCCTTGGTTTCTGCCCTGTCCATGATGTTTGGGAGCTATTATTGCTTCAACATCGCCTACCTGTCAGAGCTGGCATCCACCCTGGAGTTTGTCCAGAGGTATGTGTTTTTTGGGATTGGCTTTATCCAACAATTTATTTTATTAAACTGCAACAAATCTAAAGCAGCTGCTTCAGTGAATTGGGGGCTAAGATAATTGTCATTTTGGCTTCAAAATAATAAGATTGATGTGAAGTTTCTTTGTTGTTAGGCAAGCTATTTTATTATTAATTCTGTTGTTTGTTTGTATTTTTATTTTAAGGTGTTTTTTCTCCATCAACCCAGAGAAGGGCACCAAAGTGGAGAAGACACGTGCATCCCGTCTTCAGGTGAACCCGAGAGTCCTCACCTTGATACAGGAACTTTCGGACCATGAGTGGCGTGATGTCTGAATATGGACAGTAAGATCAATGGCATGTGGCGATGTGCCCAAGTTACAGTTTGTTTGATTGTTTAAATCGTAGTTAAAATTTGAAGTGCCTTTTTTTTCCATGTTCTTTTAACTAATTTAAAAAAATGCAATATGTAACTCAAAATGTCAAACTATTCTTTTAAGGTCATTGTAAAAGCTCAGGACATCACTGTTGAGTGTAAAAATGTTGATGTGTTACACTCCACTGGGTGGTTTTGTTTTGTTTTCCACTTGGGTTTTTGCTTCTGAAGTGAAGGGTCTCTGCTGACCCTACCTCTTCACCTATCTCACTTAGACACACACACATGTGTTTTGCAACTGTAGCTTCATCACGTACACACTTCCTTTAGCAATGAACATGTATTCAACTAAGACAATCCCTTATTTTGGCTAAGTTACAGCTCAGTCTGTGGCTGTGACAGTCGAGTATTATATTATACAGGTGCCCACTATAAGAGATGAGACATATAAAGTACTAAAATATTTAAAAACATTATTTCCCATAAATCATTTGATGTGATGCAAGTAACCTCTCAACTTTGTTCAGCTTGAATTTCCTGGACAATGTGAGCTGTTTGTTTATTGTGCAGCCTTAGTTTGTATGTTTTACCAATATGTATGTTGAGAAATGACAGATGTTTTTGATCACTGCTATTATATATATATATATATAATAAATTCTTGGAAAGGCAAGTTCTTGTTGGAATTTTTTCAACTTTTAATACAGTGGCTCTTGAGGTTTATCTAGCTTTGCATTTTAAATTTTAAGTGCTTAATCTGTGTACCCTGGATTACATTCTTCACATTTCTGGTAATAGTCAAACATATATATACGAAGGCAGTGTAGTTTAAATGAAATCTTTCAATCTGACTAATGTATAGGAAAAACATTTTTATATATCAATAATCCTTACAGGCGGTTTTATACTATATATATATATATATATATATATATATATATATATATATATTTGAGATTGCTATTCATAGAACAGTTTTTTCTGCATTTTAATTGTAATAAATACATTTTACAGAAAATTTAAATTGCAGTATTTAGATGTTGCTTTCACTGTAAAACTCGTCATTACTACGGCAAAATACACTAAATTATACACAACTTTTGATTACAATTTGCAGGAAAATTCAGTTAAATTACAGCATTACACTGATGCTTTTACAGTTAAACAGTGTTATTTGTTTGGTATTTTTCTGTAAAATTGAATGGGATTCAATGTACAATAGACAGCAACTGCATGTAAATCTTACTGAAATAATCAGTTTAATAGCAACGTGATCATGCTAATTCAGCAGAAAAGGGCTGTTGAAATGACAGATTTAAAATGTAAATTACAACAGTTTTAAACTGTAAAATATACACGTTGTTCTGTAAAGTTGTTTACAGTTTACCGTATTTTTTACATCATTATTCTGGCAACAAAGCTGCCAGGTTTTTACCGTAAAAACAATGTTTTTTTTTTTACAGTGTAGGGTTTAAACCGAGTCCACCTTCAACATGAACTAGTCCTAATAGCAGTGATATATACCTTACAGCTTTGACAACTAAAGGTAAAATGACTACTGTACGACCCTGCCTGTTTTAAATGTAAATTCAATCATTGAAGTCATTCATCTTAATTTACAGTGATAAAGCTAGCTAATGTGATTTACTGATGCTATCTGATCTGAGCAGCCCCTGCAATAACATTTCAATAATGGTGATTTATATTAATTATATCTTTAGATCACATATTATGCTAAATGCACTTGTTCATGGCCTTTGTACATAAATAAGTGTCTCCTATGTGGCTTTATGACCCAAAAGTAGGAGAAAAAGACCATCCTCTTCCTTTCCTGTTTTCTCCATCCATTAGAAAATGTTTGTAGCAACAGTCTACACAAACCTGCTGCTCCATAAGACATCCTTTGGCGTTTGTGCTATTATTGAACAGTGTAACGTCCTAGCTATAATCAAACTTATTTTTGTAAAGCGTAAATGCAATCACCAGAAGGAAAAAGCTACCGTTACGCTATAAACTAACTACATCACAGTTGCAAGGCTGCGCATCACCACCGCTAAGCTAAATGCGGCTAACGTTCCAGGAGATGGCGTTTAGTCACTTGTTAGCAACCCCTGTTTTCTTGCCACATAGCTTCAAGCATTAACGAGCGGTGTGTCAAAATAATATAATATATATTTTATGTACAAATTTGAAAATCTCTCAAGTTTGTATTAAAGTTCAAGGGCAAAAATGCCAAACTCAAGGCTTCGAAACGGTAGTCCACAATCAAATTGGTGACGTCACGGTGAATATGTCCACTTCTTTTATACATATGCTCAGGCTGTCAAGCATTCTTGGTACCTGGTGGATAATGTGTGTACATTGATGTCAAGGCCAGCAGATAATTATTACTTTTGCTTTTTAACTAACTCTACATTTTTCATGCTACCTTTATTTATTTACTACTTTATGCGTTTGAACCCTAAAGTAACCAAATGTGCAGGTCTCCACATACACATTTTTCCAAATGAGTTAATTGATTTTTTTCTTTTATCTTGGGAAACATCAGTGTAAGCATTTTGGTTCTTATATCAGGTGAAACATGTAAACAGAAAAATAGTATGTGTTTGTTAAACAGTGTCCGTGGTTAAACAATGTTTTTTGTCAAGGGTTCCATAGCCAATAAACTTGGGACGCTCACAGCACGGCATTATGGTACAGGTGGGTCAGAGATATCTTCACTGATGCCTGTTACAGCTGCCATGTGGCACCTCAGTGAACACAGCAACATCTGCACTGAGGTCAGTCTCAGATGGGGCCCTGTCATAAATGACCCTGAAGCCTCTGGGCCATCCATTAGGGGCGGACCTGAAGAATTACCGGAAGGCCCAGACATTAATCTCCCCTTGATCTGTCTTTCAACATGTCCACTGACCGGCACATCCTGCATAACACTACAACGACAGCAGCGCTTCTAAGAAGGCTCAAGTCCCGCCTCCCCTTCAACAAAGCAGCACAAGAGATACTCAATTCCACCTCTGAGGACCTCTCCAGAGATGCATGGTTGGCGGCTGCTTGGAAGCAGGAGTGGGAGATAGACGGGCCCTCCCGCATCCATCGCTACATCTGGGACCCAGGAGATGGCGCCATAGGAGGAGACGACCTACCACGCCGGCAATGGACCACACTAAACCGTCTACGAACTGGGGTCGGTCGCTTCAAAACATCGATGAAGAAGTGGGGCCTGGCAGACAGTGCTGCATGCGAGTGCGGTGACCCTGAACAGACTGCCGAACACGTAATCACCACCTGCCCTTTATATAGACCACCCTCAGAAGCCAGCCTCTTCGACTTAGGACCAGAGATGCGGGCATGGCTACACGACACCGAGTTGGACCTCTGACGTTACACGAAAGAAGAAGATGTCCACTGAAACAGGTCAGGTCATTGAGTGTTTGACATTTAAATTAACCACTTTATTGTTTTTTGGTTAAATATGTGACACAAGAGATAGCTTGAAAAGATGAACTAAAAAACCATAACATTTGACATGTTGACTGCAGGATCTGGGGATTGAACCAGCTAATTTTGATTAGAAGACCACCGTCTATCTCCTGATACCTCCGCCGCATTTAAACAGAGGAAAGCCGCTTGATCGGCTTATTCCTCTCTATCTCCATATATGAGAAAGATAATAGCATGTAATCTCAATGCAAGCTATGGCCACAGTCAGGGCGGACCTGAAGAATTACCGGAAGGCCCAGACATTAATCTCCCCTTGATCTGTCTTTCAACATGTCCACTGACTGGCACATCCTGCATCACACTACAACGACAGCAGCGCCTCCAAGAGTTGTTCCGGTCAAACAAATGGTCCCACATTACCCCGATACTCCGATCACTTCACTGGCTCCCTGTAGTTTATAGGATTAAGTTCAAAATCCTCACTCTCACCTTCAGAGCTTTGCACGGTCAGACTCCTGCTTATGTGGCCGACTTAATTCACCCTTATACATCAGCCCGCCCACTCAGATCTCACAGGCAAAATGTACTGTCTGTCCCACGTACCCACCTTAAGACCCGCGGTGATCGAGCATTCGCAGCAGTGGCTCCTAAATTATGGAATGCTCTGCCTGCTCATCTACGGTCTGCGGAGTCTGTTGACTCTTTTAAAACTATTTAAAAGACATTCCTGTTTGGTCAGGCGTTTGGGTAACCCGTGTGCTTGATCTTATTCCATTTAATACTATGTTTTTATTTTGTTTGTTTTAAATTTAATTTGCTTTATAAATAAACTTTACTTACTTACTTACTTGTTTATAAACCTGGGGGGGGGCGCCTCATGACAAAATCTTGCGTGGGGCCTCACGTCGGTCAGGGGCAGCCCTGGCCACAGTTTCCAAATGCTCCCTCCCTCCAACATCATCTGGCAAAAAAACATGCTATTACAACATTTTCGGTTTGCTCATTATTACCAACGTACAGCCTATGTGGTCAACTGATCATGGTTCCTGCCGTTTTATTCTCTTTTGAGTCCGGCTTCATTATGTCTCCTGTGATCTCCTCTTCGATTTCTCTTTGTGTCTGTGTTGTTGGCATGGCA